TTTTTTTCCTGTAAACTTTCTGGTTAACTTGGCAAATATATTTTATTGCAGGTTGCATATCCCAGTAAATCTCTTTCCCCTTTAAATACTACTTCTCCCTGTGCTCTGTTTAAAAAGATTCATCAACCTCTTTACTAATATAATGATGCCAGAAACAAAATTTCAACATATGTAGAAGCTCTGCAGTCTGATTCTTTCTGTACAATAATAAAACATATATGTGTTCATTTTAACCTGTAACTTGGAGTCTGGTCCTCTGAGAAGCTTTTTTTTAACTAGTAAAGAAGAACACATCATTTAAACTATGTTTTCTCAAGCTTATTTCATTATATTACTAACTTGTTTAAACTTACAGTCTGCTGCCATTTTTAGCTAAAAAAGCTCTGTATGTCTAACAAACTGATTTTTAGTGGTCTCTAATTTTTTTAACCAACCCTTTTCCTAACGTTTTCTTAAATATTGAAGCAGCAGCTGGTTAATATTCAGTGAGTGCTGCTGTGTGTCTGTCCTCCAACCATGTTGCTACTTTGTACACAGGGAAAGGCGACCGCAAATCAGATGTCTCAAAGCAACAGATCCGATGATGTTACACTGAGAGACGGGACAAGGGAGCAGCATGAGATTGGAATATTACAACTATGAACACAGTTAGCTGCACATAACCTCTGTTACCTTTGGCTAAAGTAAATGAATGGAAAGGGGAAAAAAGCAGAGATTATTGGTGGGGACTGTCCACACCAGTCCTTCAGAAAGTTACGCCTGTGAGATTTTTTTATGGCAGAAATCAAGGTCAATGTAATAACAACAAACAGTTTCTTGGCCTAGTATGTTAAAAAAATATAACAAATGAAAGAGCACATCGTTTTATTAGAACATAACCTTAAATAAATGCTGACACAGGCACTTACATTATTTATGTTTTAACTTTACTTTTAAACTTTTGAAATTGCTTTTTAACCTTTTCACTTAGCTTTTCACCTTTTTAACGTAACTTATTAGCTTTTTTTCAGCTTAATTTACAGTTAAATTTATTTATTTTTTTTTTACAATTTAACACATCCAATGGCTCAACTAATTGATCAAACGCCAAAATGATGTGTACTGCCACGTAGTAATATCTTTGCTGAATGGCTGGATATAAATCTTGTGCTTCTACTTGTAATGGGTCAGCAAGTAACCAAAACAGTTACTGGCCCTATGAAGGGCTAAAAGAAGCCAGATTAGGCGAAGGTGGACTTTATAAACGGAGGAAGTATGAACCTATCCAAAAGTGGCCTACTAACTAATTCACAGGAGGAGCACATTATCAACTTATCAAAAGGTCACAAAAGATCTTCTTCACACTTCCCACTGTTAAAATCAGTGTTTATCATTCAACAGCAAGAAAGAGACGGTATACAATTAGGGTCAAACTAAATCAGCATTTCAGACTTAGAACATCAGACCAACATTTGTATCTAAGAGGAATGGAAGTCTGATTCTTTACTCTTGGTCCTGTACACTGTTCTCATTTTACTTTTTAGATATCTATTATTTAATTTTGTCCTCAGACATAACGCAGCTTCATTGATCTTTAACTGACCCTTTTAATCACAATTTTAACAAAGATGTTTTGTAGATTTTAGTTCTGAAATTCTGTCCAGATTAGTTACCAATAGTAATCCATTTATCTGTTAAAAGCGTGTGTTTCATCATGTTAGATTCGAGTCTAGCTTGGTCATTCTTCAACTGATTAAAAAGTCTAAATTATTATTTATATCTCTAAAGATTAATTGGAAAATTACTGCTCCAGGATAATTGTGGTTTCTGATTTACAGTTGTTTGAACAGAGTCAAGGCTGAAACAGAGCCTGTTAGTTCAGAGCTGTAATTTCCCACTTGATCTATAGATATATAAATAATTGCACATGCAAAATTTCAGGTAGATCAAACTTATTGAACACCTCTTGTAAGCATCTGTCAAAATATGATCATACTTTAGTAATCAAATGTAATGAGCATATCAGGGTCCATTTTTATTAATTGAGTCTCCTTGTCTCTGCTTGCTACTAGCTCCACTATTTAACTTAACACTTAACTGTTTGCTCAGCAGTGATTACCAAAGATTAAGAAAATTATCTAAAAGGTTACTGATTTCTGATTAAGCAAATAATTTAACAAAATGTTATTTTACCAAATAATGTTTTATTTGCATCTAAGATTTGCATTTTGAATTGGTTTTAACACCTTCTAATCGCTCTAAATTAGGTAAAAGCTAATTTGACGTAATTCCAAACTCTTCTAGATAAGTTTTGAATTTCAAAATTAAATCCTTGCCAAACTATGAGATAATTGCATATTTTATTTTATTTTTTTAATTATGGTTTCTGACCAATTTGTTGCCCTGTTGTCTTGAGGCAAAAGGATCTTAGGTTATCGGAACAGGGTCTTTCTGCATGGAGTTTTCATGTTCCCCCACTGCATGCATGGGTTCTCTCCGGGTACTCTGGCTTCCTCCTACATTCCAAAAACATGTCTGTTAGGTTAATTGGCTTCTCTAAATTGGGTGTGAATGTTTGTGTGTACGGTTCTGTGACTCAATATGCGGGAGAAGAGGTAGGGAGGGATGGATTAACGTGATTTTGTATTTTGGAGCCTAATATATTGGAGCAACTTTTGATCTGATAGAGCAACTTGGATTTATATAAACAGATACAGTTTTTTAGTCATTACAGCACTGTATATACAGCATATTACACTCAAAATCACTGAGGTTTAAACCTAAAGAAGAAATTATTTACTTGCTAAAGCATAAAAGTTAACCTAGAGTATAACTTTTTTAAAATCTTTTTTGTCCTTTTTTTTTACATGAAGCAGTGAGGCAGCTCTCACTACCATGTTCTGAATATGTCTCTCTTTTTCTTTGCTATTGCAATCCATGATACATTCTGTGAGAATGCATTAAGTACCTGAAAAAAAGGTTCTCAAGTAGGAGTAGCACTACTACATCATATTTTTAAAAGTAAAAAGTAGCCATCACAGAAATTACGTAAGACATCGACATTTGTAATTTTTGCATCCATAATCCTGTAGTTTTTACTTCAGGTCAAAAACGTGCATGCTGTTTGGCGGATGTGACATCAACCCAGCAATGGAAGTACAAGCTTCTGCTTTCCATTAATTTCTGAAACTAGTGGATTAAAAATGAATGGTGGAATCAAATAGCAGAAAATGGAAGTATAAAACACAACTAAAGAATTAAATGAAGCTTTGCCATGGGAATATTTCCTCATTGGTCAGTGAAGATTTAGGAAATATATACTTGGTTAGGAAATATTACTGTGTGCATCTCTGCCCTTCTTTCCTCTCTCTCTCTTCCAAGCACATCTCATATTATTATTGATGTAGTAACACGCAGCTGAATGCTGAATTGTATTACAGATACATAATAAGCAGGATAAGGACAAAGGAGCTGTAGATAATGATGGAGGAGGGTCTCTAAATTTTCACGTTTCAGTGATCTTTCCCTAGTTCTCAGCGCTTCCCCACTGCAGGGTCTGAAGTCCGTCTATAACCCCACAGGGCAAACGTCCTTTCTCTGAACCCCATTTGCTTCACTGAGTTCTATTTCAGAGTAAGGAACATAAAGAGGTGAAAGAATGAAAGGAGAGGGAGTAGGAGGAGTATGTTTTGACAACAAGAGGGGCGAGGATACCGCCTGAGCAAGGCAGAGGAGTTAGAGTGGGAAGATAGGTGAACAACCATAGAGAGAGAGGAGGATATAGATGGATGAAGTGAGGATAGAGCGCTGAGAGTCCATGAAGAGTTCAGTCTTCTCTGTTTTCCTTGACTAAGAATAGCAGCTCTTCTGGTAACCCACTGCCCCAGGACACAGCCATTTGAATAAAAGCCTGTATTGCATCACATCATGCTTATATGTGTGTGTTTTTTACTGTAGGTGTGTGTCTCTGTCCTTGTTTGTGATGGCATGTGCCTGTGTTTTTTTTTTAAACACGTTCACACTCATATTGATAAAAACAGACACAGACGGTAAAGTGATAGAGAGGCCAGCTGAGAACAGGCTAATTGATGGGGATGATAATAGACTGGTAGAGAGGGGAAGCGCAGGCGACACAATGTTTATTTCAGTGAGCAAATGACTGTGTTGAATCATCAGTCCTACCTCACTTTGTCTTTCTTTATTTAAAAATTCATCCAATGCCAACATTTGTTTTATAAATCTTGATTTTCCCTGTACCCCTCTTTGTTGTTTATCAATACATTGCTTCCAAGCTTTCCAGTGCTATTGTTGCATGTTAAAATAATCTGTGCCAGAGTCCTGATATAATTTATGTAAAGTCTTTTCTATAGTCAATTTAGACAATTTAGAAAACAATAAAAATTATAGGAATAAAAATTATATTGGTATATAGACAATTTCCTGATTCACACATTTTATAAAACACCTGAACTGTTTTTTTTTTCTCTTCCTTTTTATATGGCTTAATGAGAGCAGAGGGTTTTAGGCTGCCCTGCAAGGCTTTTAAACCTGGGTTTGAATGGTGACAAAGCTATTCTCAAGCACATATCAAAGTACTAATTTTGAGCCTGGATTTATATTTATTTTTAATAATGGTCATGGTGGAGAATCCTGCTTCACAGCACCAAGTTGAGCCAAACATACTCAAAATGTGCAGGGTCATTTCACTTTTCTTTCACCAGTTCACCACAGTTCTTGCAGCAGTCTACACTTTCTCTGCTCACTTTTTCTCATCGTTTTCTCCTTTCTCACTGCCTGGTTTGCCACAGGTTTGCCTGCTGTGTCTAAAATTGGCTCACAGCAGCAACCCATACTGACAGCTCATTGGCTAATTTGCATCATGTGCAGCCTGGTCCCAGATGCTTGGGAGGGCCTTACCATATTAACAGGAGAAGCAGGGCAAGTGAATTTAGACAATGTCGTCAGACGACATGCAGTAATTTATAAATGCTTTAAATCAGGTTGGGTCTGGATTAGCCAGCATGGGGAGGGAGCCAGTGGGGGATGGAGCGACCGAACCTGACCCGGTAATGGCAGCTGCCCCCCACCTGCCCGGTAAGGCAGGCTGGGGGAAGCACGGGGGGGCGCCTACCGTCACCGGGTCAGGTTTGGTCGCTATTCCCATTGGGATAAAATTTATATTGCTGTCAAGGTAATCAGGGATTTAATATCAGTAAATGCATAACCTAATTGGTATCTTTAATTTCAAAACATATCTTTGAGACTTCGCATTGCAGTACATCTATAGGAGTCTTTTTATTTGGAAATAATGTAAATAATTTATAATACTGTAACTACTGCTAGGTTCCTGCTAAGTTTCCTCTCCACTCTGAATGAAAGCAGATGCCCTGCTGGAATACTGCAAATGTTGTAAGTTAAGAAAATATAAGCACTGTAATTCATAAAAGAAAGCACTTTATTTTAATTAAGATGTAATTGAATATGATAAGTAATCTTAAGTTACGCACATCAAAGCATTTTAATTTAACTGCTGACAATATTATGCAAAGAAACGTTTTAAACTAAAACAAGCTTTTACCCTTGGTGTCTTAGGCTTACAAGCTGTTGACATTCATGACACTAGAATTTCTGCTGCAGCACCTGGTATTTAGCTTAATTGGGGAACATCAGAGACACAAGTTATAAAATGCCAAGAAGATAAAAAGTCAGGAGATGTCAGGTGCAATACTTTTTGGTTGACTCGCCTATGCTGTTCATGCTTCCGCTCCATATTGTTCAGCCTGACATTGTTCATACTTCTAAAACCTCACACCAGCCTCTTCTATCATAATCATGAAAACACACGGTAAATAACATAGTTGAATGAAAAGCTTTTCCGATTTCGAATTTGTTATGGAAGCATTTTAAATAACCCAGACTGGTATAATAAAGAATAGATCTTATTAAGGACATCTTTACTTTCAACATTCTCCACGACCTTTAGTTTACTTGTTTATTTCACTTGTTTTTATATAATAGCATTTACTCTAATAACCACATCCGTATTTGTGAAGAAACCTCTTGAAAGGTACTTCTGACTAAAATGTATTACTAATTTTGCTTGTTGCCTAATACAAATGGAAAAAAAATTTGACTTTTATAAGTGTAAACTTTTGATGCTTAGTGCATAATTATGATTATATCAGTATCCGACATTAACGTTGATTTCAGCCCTGATACCCAACATAAGCAGAAACCATATATATTAACCTATCCTGTTCAAATTTTACAAAAAAAAAAAAAAAAAATCACACAGCTGATATTGGATCTCTTCTGTAGCTAATACCACATAATCCTTTGCACTCTTATCATTGTCACATGTTAATACCCCGCAGATTCCCACCTACCCTCCCATTACATATCCACACACAGCACCAAAGTGGAAATAAACCTAATTTGTAATATCAGCTCACTTTCCCTTATGGGACATTAATAATATTTGATTTGATATTGTAATCATTTGCAATATTTACAATGTGCACCCAGCTTATTGCTGAAATTGTGTCGGTTGAAAACCTGAATAGGAAAGTTGTTTGCAAATAAAATGTACTAATGACTGAAACTCATCCCGACTGATAAACCCAAATCTTTATTGCTATGAAGCGGAAAAAGTAATGCTATAAAGCAAAATATTTGATCTAGTATTTACTATCTAATTGAGTGTTTTTTCTTTTTTCTTTTAGCACTACTTCCTCATTGTGTTTGGCCACGATGGACAGAAACCTCTGGAGCTGCGGACGGATGAGGAGAATGAGTGTGATGAATGGGTTGAGGCCATCCAGCAGGCGAGGTACTGTACATAAGGTTAAATCATACATACAAGGGTGATTTCTGTTGTGATTAAACATTATAGTCATCAGTGATTCTCTGACCCTATTCCTAAAGTTCAAAACATGAGTCAGAATGGAAGAAAAGAGGTAAATGAATGAGAATGCTGTATGTTGGTTGAACCCAGATTTGCTGATCTGAGTACTGTTGAAACTACTGATGCAGTTAATGGATTCTTTCATCTTGTTTATGGAAAAAGTGAAGATCTAATAACTGGTATTTAGTGATTCTGATGTTACAGGTGAAATAGACTTGTAAGACTGGTAGAGACTAGAGATGCACCGATCCAATACCTGGATCGGATGTCTGCTCAAATATCAGCTAATCAACTGGATCAGATATTGGTGATTTGAAATCGAATGCTAGAGATCCAATACAAAGCACTTTATGCTGTCTTACTGTTATTTCTGCCTTTTTGTTGCTCATCAATAGAAAGTGCATTTATATCTGTGTCATTTTGTTACCCTTTTAACCATCTTTATGTAAAGGCTTAAGACTTCACTCACATGGCAAGATATATCGTTGATTTATCCAACAGTTGAATTGGATTGATATCAGATATAGGCCGATACGCTCAACCCAGATAATTCTATTGGATTGGATCCGGAAACAAAAACTGGATCAGTGCATATCTAGTAAAGAAAATGCTGAGTGCCACTGTTGTTAGCTAAATACAATATACTAAAGCTGTGATTCACACAAGTTGTTAGATCTTCAAGAACAAAAGCATCTTTAAACAGACTCTAGTCGCCAGTCTTATGGTTTCTGATTAACTGAAACACACTCAAAAATGTTGACCCTTTCAACTTATTAAAAGCCAGGATGGTCTGCCTTATTTTGTTGTTCAAAACCCAACATCTCCATGTTTCTTTAAAAAGCACATTTAATTGTCTGTCTGTTCTGATCACAGATCTGTGCAATGGCTTTTCTCACATTAAAGATAAAGATTGTTCCCAGAAAAATACAGAGGGTGTGCTAAGTTGAGCTTCTTTATTGGCATTTGACATAGCAATAAAGGATTTCAGGGAACTTTTGATCTAAAATTGATGGCTTTAATTACAGAAGATTGACAGTTTCTTATACCTGACCTGTGTTGCTCCTGACCATCAAACCACAATAAACCAAATATAGTATGCTGTGACTAAAATCAAATTCTTGTCAGTTTTATTCTTAACTCCTGTAATTTAGAAGGAATATACTACATTTTCTACATTAGTTTTTTCCTTTAATGTTTGCCTAAGGTGCATTAATGTTTCAGCTCACATATCATATTTAAAGCAAATTTTAATCACTATTACAAAATCAATCCAAATGCTACTGAAATCTCAGTACAGTTTCAACACAGTTTATTATATTTATTCAACTGAGGCTGGATCTTTGGAAAAAAGGAATTGTCTCCTGACCTACTGTTTTCTCCAAAGATTTCAATAGTTAGGAAATGATAAAGATCAGATTATCCTATGATGTGTTTCTCTTTTTGGAATTTTTCTTCACTGTGTGATTATTCCAGATTAAAAACATAGTGTGCTAATAGAACTGTTGTTTGCATATAAAATATTCCTGTTTTGCAGTTATTCAGATATCATAATTGAAAGAGAAGTCCTGATGCAGAAGTACATCCACCTTGTGCAAATTGTGGAGACTGAAAAGGTGGCTGCCAATCAGCTGCGGACTCAGCTGGAGGACCAGGACACTGAGATCGAAAGGCTTAAATCTGAGGTAAGTCATACATTTTTCTGTCCATAGATGCATGCATAATTTACATTTGTTGTTTCAACTTCCCTCAAGTTAAGTTAGTATATGTGATAGCTTCCAATACCCATCCCATCATGCACATGTGGAGACCAGTTGATTGGATTTTATGTCATTTACTGAAAGAGGAAGTCAACAACACCCAAATAGGGCAGTGAGCTTCCCTACTGGTCCACTAGTCACTCTGTGTACACAGCAGAGTGCTGAACTGACTTTGTAATTTACAAATACTTTTTACAGTGAGTTTTGACAACATATTTTCTTTTTGTGAAATGTGATCTTATAGTGGTTTTGATAATAAATCATTGAAATGAATTTATTACATCGAAGAAAATGTAAATGCAGCCTATGAGAAATTTATGGATATGTTTAATATGTCGTACAATAAGCACTGCCCAGTAAAGAAATTTAAAGAAAGCATTAAACAGATAAATAGTCCATGGGTGACTGAGGGGTTGAGGAGGGCGTGTATGAAGAAGAACTCATTGTATAGACATTTTCTTAAAAAAAGGACAGTGGAAGCAGAAGCAAAATACAAGAGGTACAAAAATAAATTAACTAATATATTGAGGTCTTGTAAGAGGGAGTACTACAATAAATTGCTGGAAGGAAATAAAAACAATGTTAAAGGTATATGGACTATCTTAAACAGTATTGTGAGAAAGGAGTCAAAGGGAACAAAATTACCGGAATATTTTACTGAAAAGGACAAAATTATAAAGGATATGGCTGACGTTGCAAATGGTTTTAATAGGTTCTTTGTCAATGTTGGACCTGAGCTTGCGTCAAAAATATCAGAGACAAATACATCTGTCTGCGAAGACATGGGGGAAAGGAACCCATACACAATCTTTCTGGGTGCAGTGACTGAGACTGATGTTAGAGAAATAATACAAAACTGCAAAAATAAAACCTCTGCTGACTGGATGGAAATAGATATGAAAACTGTTAAGATTGTTATGGAAGAAATTATTAAACCACTAACTTATATTTGTAACCTGTCCTTTCAAACAGGTACATTTCCAGACAAAATGAAAATAGCCAAAGTTATTCCACTGTTCAAAAACGGAAACAGACACCATTTTACAAACTATAGGCCAGTTTCTTTACTCCCTCAATTTTCCAAAATAATTGAAAAACTATTTACCACTAAACTTGATATCTTTATGGAAAAACAACATATACACTGACAATCAATATGGATTCAGGTCAAACAGATCAACATCCCAGGCACTACTACAACTCATGGAGGAAATCACAGATTGCGTTGACGATAAAAAAGTGGCAGTTGGGGTTTTTATTGATTTAAAAAAGGCTTTTGATACCATTGACCACAACATATTGCTGACCAAACTAGAAAGGTATGGGATAAGGGGAGTTGGGTTGGATTGGATAAGAAGCTACTTAGGAAATAGACAGCAATTTGTTCAAATAGGGGAACATAAATCAGAGCTCTTGGAAATTACATGTGGAGTACTACAGGGTTCAGTGCTGGGCCCCAAATTATTTATCATTTATATAAATGACATCTGTAAAGTTTCAAGGGCACTGTCATTGATTTTATTTGCAGATGACACAAATGTATTTTGTTCGGGCGAAAGTTTACCGCAGATCTTGGAGCTAATTACAACAGAAATGAATAAATTTAAAATTTGGTTTGACAAAAATAAATTATCTCTTAATTTGGACAAAACAAAGATTATCATATTTGGAAGAAAGAATTCTGAGATTAATGGAAACATTTCAATTGATAATAAAGAAATCAAAAAAGTGAATGAAATAAAGTTTCTTGGTGTGATTTTAGACCACAAGATCTGCTGGAAACCACATGTAAGCTATGTGAAAAATAAGCTTGCCAAATGCTGTGCTATTCTTAGCAGGGCGAGTCATATATTGAACCCAAAATCACTAAAAATGCTTTATTTTTCATTGTTTTTGCCATATTTGATTTACTGTGTTGAAGTTTGGGGTAACATCTATAAGAGCACATTACAATCCATATGCACACTACAAAAAAGAGCAATAAGAATAATATGCAAAGCAGGATTTAGAGAGCACACCAATCGATTATTTATACAGCTATATGCATTAAAATTCACAGACCTGGTAAAATTCAAGACAGCGCAAGTAATGTATAAAGTAAAAAACAAACTAGTGGCTAAAAATATAAATGAATTGTTTCAAGAACGAGATGAAAAATATAATTTTAGAGGAGATGCAGTATTCAGAACGAAGACGGTACGAACAGCGATGAAAAGAATGACTATATCAAGTAGTGGAGTGGAGTGTGAACATAAACTTGTTTAAGAGAAGGTACAAAAAATTACTTTTGGATAAATATGTAGAAGAGGAAAGATAAAAAATAGGTAGATTAATATGGAAGAGTAAATGTAACTAGTTAAATGAGCAACTTAGGTCTCTTGAATCATTAGGGATGGGAAACTTAAAAGTTTATACTTCGTCCCATTCCTTTTCGAACAATTTATTATGGTTTATGTATTCATTGTGTTGTGTTGTAATTACACATCTTATATTGTTTTGTTGTTCGAATAAACTGAACTGAACTGAATGAATTTATTACAATTTGGTCTTTCTTTTACAGATGAAATAAATTAGAAAAAATAAATACAGAGAGCAGTCAAAATTAATTATTAAATTACTTTAAGTCGTAGGAAAGTCATATCTAAATTTCAAATCATTCGGGCTTAAACATGTATATAAATGTACTCTTTATCAGAAGATATTGTCCGAAAAGTTCGAAAATTTCGATTTAAAAAAATATCCTGTCTTAAAGTCTGTGGGTTTTTTTTTCTCATTATCTTATTCAGGCCAGTTAGTTATATGTCAGCTTGTACACCTAAATTCGGCCAATCGTATATCAACAGTCATCTGTCAATCAAATTTTTTCGGTCATATAAATCTTGATTCAAATGTTGCAGCTAATATATGCTGCGGTTGAAATAAGAATAATTTACTTTACCATTGAGTTCCGTCCCAGCGTTCACGGGGATGGATGTCTGTGTCTTCGGCAGGTATAGAGCTAACAGAACTGGCAGCGTTGCGAGGCAAGGGCTCAAACATGTACGGCTGTAAGCCTTCTACACAAAACAAAGCTTCTGCTGCCCTGGCGTCCTCTTTCACAACATCTTTATCCCCATTTTTCCTCCTCTAAATAAATAATGTATGATGGAGGAGACTCATCCACGACCTCCGACTCAAAACTCTCCTCCTCTTGCATGTTTCCGCTGTCCATAGCGTTCCTAGACAGTTTCGTTTCTAAGTCACCAATTTAGTGCTACTTGGTCCCAATGTAATTTCCCATTGGGAACCTGCTTGCACTAAGATGATAACTGCTTATTAAGATGCTTCAGACAAACAGCCACAACCAAAATGTTGTCTTTTTTGCACTTAAAAATGTGTCTAGAAAACTCAAAAGTTAGGCTACAATACAAAACACATTTAAAGGTAAAATCCTGCAAATAGCAAACACTGCAAGTTAACTGCAAGAAAAGCTGCAACCACAGTGATTATTGCAAAAAACAGCAAAGTGGAAACATACTGTAAACACAAATCCCGTTACAAATGCATAGATGTTGCAAAGACATAAACACATAAAACACATACAAAGCCAAAAAAGGCTACAAGAGGTATTAACAAGTGCAAGTTAAGAAAAGCTGCAAACTGGTTTCGCACAATGAAAGTGTCGTAGACCGCAAGGGTACAACTTGGATAGCCAACCAGACCCCAAATTGCATTCTCTCTAAAAGACATCAGTTTTTTTCACCAAGTTTTTCTTTAAATATTTCTAAACACTTACACTAATCTTTCTTAGAATCCTGTTTATGCTGTTACTAAGGGTCTGGTCCCAAATTAGTTAATGATTGTTTCCTCTTAGCAGTCTGGAGCACTTTCATCATGCAGCACTAGTTTGCACCTTTTCTTAATTTGTAGATGCATCACTATCAACAGCCTTTTTCCTTTGGCTAAGTTTCATTGTGTTTGATTTGATCAATGCGTTTTCTATTTTAATATTTAGGCCTGCTAATCTAATTTTTAGTTACATACTCTGATTTTGAGTTTTCAGGACCTTTTTAGTTTGCTGTGAAGCATATGAAATAAAATTTATGTAGGACTCTTGCATAAGTATTATTTTTCCCACTATTTTTCAGTCATGTTTTATATTCACCAACCTGCCCACACAGCACTGCATTCTGTCTCGGTTTTACAAATCAGAAAGGGTTAAGCTAAAAGGCGCCTATAAAGAAACCTATACATTGTATATATCAGTGTCACTGTCTATGTTGTAGGTTGTTTTCTGTTCATTGCAGTGAGCGAGTGGGCGTGAGCAGTGTTTGGCTGTTTCTGGGTGTAGGAGGCCTTCAATAAAGATAGCTGATCAGCCTCCACTCCGATAGCCAAACTCTTCAAACATGCATTGTTTCTGTTGCTGCACAGTAAATCACATTCATGTGTACACATAAAACCCAACAGACCCTTACCACATTGTCAATCAAAATAATTCCCCTGTCTCCTCTGCCCCTCAAACACATTAAAAGAATCTAGTTAGCAGTTTACAATAATTAGATGATCTTCCCCATTTTGCTTTCGTAAACTATAATTGCTCTTAATACTTAAAAACCATTGAAAAAAAAGTCCAAACAATGAAAAAAAAAAAAGAATTCCTGGCAAAAGAAAAAACACACAAAAAACATGTGTTTTGATCCTTTTTGTTGAACAAATGCTTTTGCCCTGGTCAAAACCAGTTGGAATATTCCTTTCTCTAAATTAAGCATATTTGAAACTGTTAAGGCAAGAAAAAAAATAAGTTAAATGTGTTAAGGAGGGATTATTAAAAAAAGGTATTGTAACGATTAGGAAAATCAAACATCACAACAGTCTAATTGTGAGAGATGTTTACAAAGACTACATTTACCTTTAGCTTTGTTGGTTATCTTTGCACTGCCACCAAAAGGTCAGCAAACCTGAGCAAACATGACTGGGTATGTTGCTGTAAATTAGGTTTAGAACGTCAGGGTGATGCCCAATAGCAATGTCTTATCTGTGTATACTGAAGTAAATCTTAAAACGAACTGATGAAGCATATTAATGGCAGGAACAGTACAAAGTTAATGCCATCTACCAGAGATCTGGAGTCAGCAAATTATCTCTATATCATGTATTTGTTCTGCCCTGAAGCAGGTGAGTCCAATCTGCAGAGCAAATTAACCTTTGCAGATTAGTCTTAGTTAGAACCTTTAAAATTCCAGTATTATAGAGTGTCCCCTGGGCTGCTTAGTGGCACAGTGGGTAGCACTGCTGCCTTGCAGTAAGAAGGTTGCAGGTTCGCATCCTGGCCTGAGGTCTTTCTGCATAGAGTTTGTATGTTCTCTCTGAGCATGTGTGGGTTTTCTCCTGGTACTCTGGCTTCGTCCCACAGTCCAAAAACATGACTTTTAGATTAATTGGCTTCTCTAAATTCTCCCTAGGTGTGAGTGAGTGCGTGAAAGGTTGTTTGATCTGTTTGTCTCTGTGTTGCCCTGTGATGGACTGGCAACCTTTCTAGGGTCTACCCCACCTCTCGCCCGTAGACAGCTGGAGATAGGCACCTGCTTGGGATTAAGCGTGTCAGAAAATTGATGGATAGAGTATCCATACACCCCCCCTTTTTGTTGCCAAACCAGCTCTCATCTCAAATTTGAGACGTGGGCAATTTGTAATAACTTCTTCCATTGCTTGTGTCCATAGCCTAGGTGTGATTGCACACTGCTGGAGCTTTTAGTGATGGCAAGTACTGGTGCCCTGACTGGACTGGACCTCCATATTCAGTGCACCCTGTCAATTTTCTGTTAGAACTACCTTTAACATGTCCCTTGAATTAGACCTGGTCTGCCCAAAATCGGTCCTCGAGGCCTGCTGTCCAGCAGTTTTTAGGTTTCTCTGGTTCATTGCAACTGATTTCCATTGCTATCTGATTAAAAACCCTTAGATGAATTGCAATCATCAGAAGCTGCTATGCAAGCTGCCTCTCTCCCAGCCAGAACCTGCACGCCATGTTGCTTATTCATTGGTGTACTAATCTGGGGGGACAATGGCGTTGTGTGTGAGAGTTGAACATGCAACCAGAGGGTTAGTCGTTCAAACCTCAGTTCTTGTGTTCATTCTCGTTGTGTCCTTGGGAAAGACTATTGCCTACTGATGGTGGTTGGAGGGCGTGGTGGTGCTTGTGTGATTGTTAAATGTAAATAAGTATTAAATATGACACCATTTTTCCCAGTAAATATAAATATATTTCTAGAGACATTTCCACCAGATACTGGTAACAATCCATGCAATCCACACATACAAAGAAATCAGAAACCATACAGTAGATGCCCAAACATAAAGTTATATGTAGCAAAGTGATATGACACAGGGAAAAAGTAGTGAACACAGATAGAAATTTATTTAATGCTTTGTACAAAAGCATTTCTTGACAATGACAGCTTCAAGACGCCTCCTGTATGGAGAAAGTAGTCACATGCATTGCTCAGGTGTGATTTTGGCCCATTCATCCACAACAACAGTCTTCAAATCTGGAGGGTTTCGTGGGCCTCTACTATGAACTCTGATCTTTAGTTATTTTCATAGGTTTTCTATTGGACTCCAGTCAGGTGATTGGCTAAGCCATTCTAGCAGCTTTATATTCTTTCTCTAAAACCAATTCAGACTTTCCTTGGCTATGTGTTTGGGGTCATTGTCTTGCTGAAATGTCCACCCACGTTTCATCTTCCTCATCCTGGTAGATGGCAGCAGATTTTTACCAAGGTGTCCCTCTACATTTTTTCCATTCATCCTTCCTTTAATTATTTGAAGTTTGCCAGTACTATACCATACCAGATGAACATTATTTATTACGCAGAGTAACAACAAAAAAATGGCTGTTTAAAAGACTTTTTAAGAATTTAAGTTAACAATATGCTTCTAAGAGAACAATAATAAAGAAGTTCTTGATTGTTGTCCTACTTTTAATTATTCAAAATACACGTATGACCCTGACATAACCAGGAGGAACTCCAAAGTTATACTTATTTTCACAGAGACACGTTTCAAATTCAATTTTGCTCTTAGAAGTGTCTTATTTTTTCAGTTGGAATGCTGTTTGCTTAATGGGCAGCTGGTAAACTCCCCATAAATCAAAGCTTCTCTGTGGTTTCCAATTTGGTGTCTGCTCATTTGTGCCTGTAATGGCTTGTCTAAACACCCTACTTGCATGTGCAATCTTGTCTTTGAAAAGAAATAACACACTGGCAGTTGTAAATTTCCCCTCTAGCAACAAGTGTGCTACTTTCCATTAATGTGTATTTTTGTGGTGAAACTCATTGTCTAACTTAAGGAATCCTGGCTTAACAAAGAAAAATGCTGATGAATGTATGTTTCTGTAGAAAACATCTGCATGTTTAATAGAGCTGCTCGTGAAAAAAGGATTAGAACTTAAGAGGAAATGTGCAGCTGGTTATTGCTCTCATTAAGAATTACTAGTGTTGTTTGTTGCTTGTTTTCGTTTGTACTACATGTGTGTTGCTTGTAGTTCATGAATATTTAAACAAAGTAGCTACTATTACTATCATGACTTGGCAGATTGGCTCTTCTTTGCTCTGGTGAATGGGAAAATGAAGATCAAGAAGTGTGGCAGAAAATATGTTTGCTCTTATTTATCAAGCTTTACCAAACAACTGAGGAAACGATGCTGTTAATTGGGATGAAAATAGAAACAAAGAGGGTGAAAAATGTTATGCTGGAATCAGAGTATCAGTTAGGAGTTTATTTCTATGCTGCTTCCAGTTTATTCTAAAGCCACACAACATCTTTAAATATATAACACCATCTTTTTTTGGCAGCTCGATAAAGATGTATAAAAGCCTTAGTAATGTCAAACATAAGTGCAGGTCCATGTCCTTACACAAAAAATGTACGTCAATCCAGCCTTCTACTTATCTCTTAACCATTGCTAGTGCATGCCTAACTCTAAACCAGACCTACAATTAATTCACACATTGCTTTATCCATTTACTGATTAATGTTTCCATATTGATACTGGTATCTATTTGTTGCATACTTAGACAGTCACATAATTTATGTAACTGCTATAAAAAATGTTTTTTGATGACAGCAATCCGATATGAGATCTGACTGCATTGAAAAGAATCAAGAAAATTCTGAATCAAGAAATTTTGATTCAAATAGGTTTTTGAATTTTGGTTGATGCCCAGCCCTACTAATCTCCAAACCAAGAACAAAACTTGTCTTCAAGGGGAAGAGTTTATTGGTAATAAGATAAGGGAATTACAGCAATAACGTTATATTAAAAAAATATATGCAGTGAAGTGAGAGAAAACTGTGCGGATCCTGTTTCTAGATTTACAGGGATTGTGGTAAAAAACAGAAGCAAAGCAAAGATTTTTGGCTGTTATAGTAAAAAATAAGAGCTATTTTCCTACTAGGGGTTTTACAGGGTGATATAAAGTAATAACAGCTGTTTTGCTAGTAAGTGCTGCCATCTGTGATTTCAAATGGTTTATTATTCATTAACATTGGTTTTTATGTCATGGAATAAATCCAGTCTTTTTTAAAGTGAAATGTTTGATTAGTTTTTAAATTTTGCAAGACAGCATGCAATCAAATTTCAAGTGCTTTTTCTCACCCTAACAGGGGGTGATAAAAACTATGAAGGTAGCTTTATTTGCAGTGTCTGTTCTAATGCTAAATTTTTATCACATTGTGAACATAGTTTTAAAGAGTTCAGCAAACAGACCAGCTACTTTCTATAAATGCATTTGTTTTCTCCATTGTTAAATGTGTTCTTTGCTTTATTTCAAACAAATACTTATTTAAGGGAATATTTTTCTTTTTTTGTCCATTTTATGTTTATTTATTTTTTTCCTAATGATATGATCAGTTACATATGCTTTTTGTCACATGCAGAACAGGTTGATGCTTTCTGAGTCTCACTCTCAAAATGAAAGCCAGGATTTGCTTGCTGTTAGCCAGAAAAGGCTTGCTTCCCGGCTTCTTTCTTGGCTCTCTTTCGGAATGAAGGTCCAAGCTTTTTCAGTGAGGAGGAAATCTGATTGATATCTGCTGAAAACACACAACATGTCTTTGAGTGCTCTCTAACTGAGCACATACTGTGATTTTCAGCCAATTAGCTCAGTTCAATTAGCTTAGAAGTAAAATGGAGCACCCACATTTCTTCCATTAGATATTGCTCTGGAATTACAGCACATTTGCATGTTAAAGAAATACTGTTGTTTAAAAAAGTGTGTGTTTCTGTATGAGAGAATCGGATCCTCAGACTACTTCTCTGACATGACAATTAATTGGAGGTTTGACATTGTGCCTGTTCATGATCCCCCTTTCCTTTCAGCCCTCTGCACTTGTTTGGGCTATTTGACACTGGAAAAGAAAGCAAGGATCATACACTGCATAAATGTCTTTGATAACGTGACGAAATCTCGATTATCAAAAAGGTTGGAGATAGAATCTGTGGGCCAGGCTTTTAGAACTTCCTTTAGGGAGATTTGTATTATCTCATCTCTGTTGGGTTAAACTTCACCCCCGCAGGTCAAACTTAACATTATTTCAGATAGGCAGTTAATGTCAAAAATGTTTTCATTATCATTGTTAGCATATAGTTTGATTACATTTGAGGTTTGTAGTCGGCTTCAGATTTAGCTCTAAATCTGTGTTGAAATGATTAAACACTCTCTGAAGCTGGCAGCTGTTTTTGGTTTCTGTCAATATTTACGTCAATGCAAATATTCACCATCAGCCCCTTCAAAAAATTTATTTAACTTAGCAATATCTTTGGTAAGAAATTATGAATATATATCTTATTGATCTGCTTGTTAAGTGACATAATCTGAAACGCTTTGTCCTAAAAGATTGTAGCTTTAAACAAAACTAAGGAGCGGATGCGGCCTTATCACATCTACCACGAGAATGAAGATCCTGACATCAAAAAGATCAAAAAGGTAAATGCTATCATGTTCAGAGTTATTTCTTATTTTCCATATCTACAGGCACCTTTAAAAGCTTGACATTTGTCAACATTTCTGTCTGCAGGTTCAAAGTTTCATGCGCGGCTGGCTGTGTCGCAGGAAGTGGAAAATCATTGTCCAGGACTATATTTGTTCTCCTCACGCAGAGAGCATGAGGAAGAGGAACCAGATTGTCTTCAATATGGTGGAGGCAGAGACAGAGTATGTAAATACATTATGCCTTGAGCAACAGTATAATTTGCATCTAAATTGTCACCCTTGTGTGGTTATCTCCAATGGAAATACTGTGATAACAATGTTGGAGCTCTTTAAATGTAATTTTACTTTAGATTAAATTATATACATTTAAATAAGTTAAATTAGGAGAAGCAGCTAAACATATATTTGACATTAAATTGTTTTAAAGATGGCTCTTTGATCAAATTATTTTATATCATACAATATAAATTATAATTTGCACAGTTAAGGTTTAAAAGAAGCAGGTTTGTTTAAGAATATATCAAGACTTTTTGAGAACAGTTTTAGCTTATTGTAATATTAATATATTTGGCAAATTCATTTGTTTACAATTATAAAATGTTGTATTACTTTTGTCCGAGGTGATTATTATTATTTTTTGCTAATATGATGGCTTATCTGGTGTCCTGGCAAACTATAAATATCAGATGTTCTGCCCTGGGGCCTTTGTTTTACTGATTAAAATTGATGAATGATCACTAAGGATATTCAGAACGGCAACTGACAAAATTTTTATGGGTAGTACTAAATGTAGACCTGACGACATGTATCAGCCTCAGATTTCAAAATTGACTAGAAGGCATCAGTTGTCCACCTGGTCCTTCTAATCTTTAAACCCAGCAAACTAACAGCTATAAAAGGAAAATAAATCCTCTGCATGTCCTTGTTCTAAACTTGAAACAGTAGTTTACAGATTCCAGTTGTTAAATATACCAAAATCCTTTAACTTCTAAATCTTTCCCTTGTGAATGTAGAGGCAATTTTAATTCTGTTGTAAAGTTTATTTAAATTGAACTTAACCAATTTCAGTAAATCCCTTTTCTCCTTATTTGTCTCATTTTTATTCAAGCGCTGCTTACCAAAGCAAAGCACTCTTGCATATGTAAATGTAAAACTAAGAAGTAAAGTCTGACTTGCAATAAGACTGAATGCTCTTGCTAGAGCTGGTTGAGTTCATTTCAAATTATGCTCCACTTTTGCCGAATTTAGATGCTAAGCTCTTAAAGTTACATTTATACACATTTCTGTAAATGATCACTTTAAATGCTATGAAATCCTCTTAATTCCAGACCTTACAATTTACTCTTGTATAACAGCTGTGCATTATAAATCTCACAGTAAATTCCTAATGCTGAAACAATCATTTTAACTTATTGGAACTAAGGAACAAAGCTAAACTCCTGAAACACGACCCCACAGGATAACCCCCCCTCTACCAAACTTTGCAGTTGGTACAGTACAGTCAGACAAGTGCTGTCCTCCAGGCAACCACCAATTACTGGTAAGTCCATCAGATTACCATATCGGTTTACTTCTTTAGAGTCCAGTGGCCAGTGCAATCAAACTTTTGAGGTTTATTCTCCCTCCTTGGTTTGCAAGCTGACAAATTTGTTTTGCATTATAGCTGCAGCCAAAGTAACCCATAACCTTCTTCAGTCTTCTCAACCACCAGCAATTTATTTGTACAATTTGGAGGTGTTCCACGTCACCACAGTTTGGAGCCCTGTTCATCAGGATGCAGTTGCATCCCACTCTGTATTTACAATAGGGCTTCTCATGCTGTTATATATACTTTTTTGACATAAGATAATCAACATTGCTTATTATGAACTATTGTTAAGCCACCATCGTTTAACTATGTATATGTATTTAACAGGTATGTCCACCAGCTCTATATCCTGGTCAACTGTTTCCTTAGACCTCTGAGAATGGCTGCCAGCTCAAAGAAACCTCCAATCAGTCATGATGATGTCAGCAGCATCTTCCTCAACAGGTGTGCTGGTATATCGTGTGAAAAATGAAACCAAAAGGTTTTCTCAGCTTTTATATAATTTTCTCTAATGTCAGTAACACAAGAGAAAAAAAAAAAACACATAATAAGATGTTTTTATTACCTCTTTAGTGAGACCATCATGTTCCTACATGAGATTTTCCACCAAGGCTTGAAGGCTAGGATCGCCAACTGGCCAACTCTGGTGTTGGGTAAGCTGTTACTTGGCTTCACATATGGCACAGAATGTACAAACACAGTCCATGCTCTCACTATCAGAAGGTGGTGGGTAACAAGAAGCCTGCCATTTTAGTGATTTCCGTCTCAGTATTTCTCAATCAGACGTCACTGTTCATGTCACTCAGCCCTATACACAAAAATACCCATGTTCCTATCTCAGTCTGCACTGAGCAGACTCTTTGTCTTGATAGACAATAACAATCCACACCAAATCCATCTCACCATCTCACCCCCTAAAAAAAGAGCCGTGAGCAGATAAGCATCACCCTGGAGACAGAGGCTGACAGATGTGGTGGGAAATCACTAGTGACAAATTACAACAGGGGAAGAGAGCGCTGATTAAACTTGTCGACCTGATGTGACTCTTCCTTTCAGGCAGAATCTACTCTTTTATCTCCAGCATCTTTCATATCAAAACCCTATAATAGATCCCCTCATTATGCAGCTAATTTGTTTGTCGCTAAAAAGAGGTGTGTAGTTTTGTTTTTTTTTTGTCTTCTATTTTTGTTTCTTGCAATTTGGCCTATTATTGAAAATTAATTGTGGTTACATTACATATTAAAAGCCTTTATTGATAAGAATAGAAGGTTTCATATTTTGTTATCTTTTATATAGTTTTGTCCAGCCAACACAGATTTTAGCCCCAGAAGATATAGGAAAAACATTACAAATCTTGTGAATTCAATGCCCATCCAGGTTTGACGCCATATTAATGTTGTGAATAACTGTTATATATCCCAGCCAGCTGGGAATTCATATTTTCTGATCCTTTAAAGCGTTTATTGCCCTCCTCGGTAGGGGTGGTAAATACCTTATTTAACCAAACATTATTTGGGCTGATATGTATTGTTCATGAAAACACGCCCTACTAGCTGTCTGTTAGAACAATAAATGAAAGAGTGATTCGAGCTGAAATCATGGTCAAACAGATAATACTGCACATACATGGAATAAATTCACCACAACTTCTGTTCAATATAAGAGTTTATTAAAAAAAATCCTTCAGCTCCAAGTCAAACATGTCTCAGTTTAAAGCTCTTAACTAAAACTAATGAAACTAAACTAAACTAAATTACTATGTTCAAAGAGACAGACTAACCAGAGCGACTTCAAAATATTTTTGTCAGAAAGCAGTTTGTTTTTGGATAGTTTCTAACAAATCTCTGCTTAATTTCTATACCAGGAAGTACAATTGGCCAAGACACTTCACATGCCTTGCTGGCTGTTTGTTGTCAGAAGGCCTGGTGGTGTTGATTGTTTGGCAGCCCTCCTTCTGTCAGTGTGCTCCGGGCCAGCTGAGGCTACAATTATCTCACCACCTTTACTGTGTGAATGCGTTTACAAATGGTAAAATGACTAAACGTAATGTAAAGCACTTTGGGGACCTTGGAATTCACAAAGCTCTATGTAGGCACATGCCACGTGCCATTCCAGGTGGTCAGGGCTGGTTAAGCTGAAAATCATCGATTTCCCTAGATGACTTCTTGGTAAATCTTTAAGCTTCATAAATGATGTGCTGGCTGTGGTCTCGTTAGGAATATAAAAAAAACTTTCAGTAAATCTAATGAAACATAATTCGGGTCTGGTCATAAGATAGTTATAAAATTATTGTATTCATTGTATGGAAAACAATTTAGAATCAGTAAGACAGATGATGTTTTTGGAAAAATGAAATTATTTTTAGAATACATAAAATGTCCTAAATAGAGTACATAGGTACTGCTTTCCCAGGGTTATGCCTGCAGCCTGTACACTTTTAATGTATGTTTTTTTTTATCCAGCTGATCTTTTTGACATCCTGCTGCCCATGCTAAACATATACCAGGAGTTTGTGCGTAACCATCAGTACAGCCTGCAAGTTTTAGCCAACTGTAAGCAGAACAGAGACTTCGACAAGCTGCTAAAGCAGTATGAGTCCAACGCTGCCTGCGAGGGAAGGATGCTTGAGACCTTTCTCACATACCCAATGTTCCAGGTAGATCATAAATGTTGTCAATCGTGTGTTTTAATATATATATATATATATATATATATATATATATATATATATATATATATATATATATATATATATATATATATATATATATATCCTATATTTGCTTTTCCATCTCTTTCCTCCAAAAAGATCCCTCGTTACATCATAACACTACATGAGTTGCTGGCCCACACACCTCACGAACATGTGGAACGTAAGAGTCTTGAATTTGCCAAGTCTAAATTAGAGGAACTGTCAAGGTATGTGTTACCAACATTTTCTGATTTTACGATGCACACTACTTGTTTAGACTAAGATTATTTGTTACTTATGTGTCCAGAGTGATGCATGATGAGGTCAGTGACACAGAAAACATCCGGAAGAATCTGGCCATTGAGAGAATGATTGTTGAGGGCTGCGATATCCTGCTGGACACCAGCCAGACATTCGTTAGACAGGGTGAGTCTTCATCAGTGCACAGCACTGCTCATCCACGGAGTGTGTTTTCCCTGATAGGCAAACCATTCATTGTGATCTATATTTTTTTCCCTTTAATAGAACATGAGCAAACATTTGTAGGGGAGAAAGTTTTAGTTCTTGAATCAACAGTTACATCTGTAAACCTTGCATGCTGGACAGCTGCAGACCAGAGCCAGAGTCTCCTACACTGAAAAAATTTACTTTTTTGGTGCAGTAAACTCCATTAGAGTATTCACAACTATAATTTCTTTTCTGTAAAAATTAGAGTTTCTGAAGTAAAATTGAACCTTTTTTTCAATTGAATACATGAATTTTGGAGAGAGAGTAAATTTTACTTAGATTTCCTTATATGTTTAATAGCAGTATGTACATAAAGCTAATAATACAACATAAACTTTACTCCGAGTCCAGACGTTACAGGATCACACAGGGTGCAGGGTGCAACAGTACTGCAAAAGCCTGATCAATGCTCATTGGACTGATATATGGATTTAAACTGTCCTCAAAAGTAAACACACTGAAGTTGAAGTTGCTTTCCTAAATGCATTCATGACTTGGTATGAAAATGTGGCATCAATGCCAAGAATTAGCAGTGGGTTCCAGTTAATAGTAGAAGGTTGCCTGTTTTTTTTTTATCGTTTGCCAAATAAGGTATATGTTATTTGATAAAAAAAACAAAAAACAGATACCTTTATTCAAATATCTATTAGAGATTTTATGTATAATTGAGAATGGGTGGACAGTTTAAGCTGTTAATTTTTTAATGTGTTTGTTTTTTCTTCATAAATGTTGTACCTGCATTCTTAAAAGTCCACTAGTCTCGAAGACTGGTTTAAATCATGAAATTGCACTGTTTCAGTGTGTAGGTTTATAACATTTTTATTGCATATTTGAGTAGTGACTATATTACCAGATCTGTGTTGGATGGGGTCTACATGAGAAACTGTGTATTTGTTGTTTACAAGTCATACCAACCTTATCTTTTTTTCGGTACAAATTCTAATAGAGTACAACATAATGCACTTTTACAATTAATGCTATATTTGTACATGCTTTTTTCATTTAAAAAAAGGCATACATAATCTTTACACCACTGCTCAAAGTTTAAGTTGCTGTTTCTGTTCTGAACCTCGCCCAGAAGTTGTTTTGAACACGTTTGTTTCAGTTAAATATTCATGATCTTACATATGAGCATATTTCTGTAAGGAATGGTGAAACTCTCGGTTTTAGAGTTTTTTATTCCATATTTGAAAAGTACCATCCTGGTTACATGGCTGCTCAGTGGCATAGTGGGTAGCACTGCCGCCTTGCAGCAAGAAGGTTCTGGGTTTGATTTCTGGCATTCCCTGTGCATGCTTAAGTTCTCTCCTGGTACTCTGGCTTCCTCCCGCAGTCCAAAAATATGACTGTTAGGTTAATTGGCATCTTTAAAATCTCCTAAGATGTGAGTGTGTGCATGAATGGTTGTTTGTATCTGCATTGCCCTATGATAGGCTCATCTGGTCATAGTGATGCTGTCTAATGTCTCTGTAGAAATTATCTTTTTTTACTGACCTTCACTAGTTTGAATGATTAAAAAATGCTTTGCTAACAAAGTTTTAACCTTATTGCTCCACTAGAAAGGCTTTTTTTTCTCCTTTCTGATCCCTATTGTAAATAAAATCATTTACATCCATATTATACTCAGGTTTAGACCAAGTTTACTTTTTTTTATAGTTTATTTTGTTTTTTAATGATGATGATAAATTAATTTTAATTACATTATTTAAGTTCACAAAAGTAAATTTATCAAAAGTGGGTATAAGTTGCCGATGTTTTATGAGTGCTGAGTAATGACAATTAAAAGGCCTCAAATAAAGTTTACTTTAGATTGATAGAATAGAAGCTTTGATTAGCTGTCATACCATTTTTCAAAGAGATTGTAAAAATGTAATTCATGCTTTTCCTCTCGCTTAGATCACCTGTAATGGGCTTCATTTTGGAGGAGTCAGTAATTACTGTCTTCCCTGCAGGTTGTTCAAAACGCTGCTGCATACAACTAGTACTGTAAAAACAGAACACATGACACCCATCCTATCCTAACTCCTCTGGTTGCATGTGCATTTTGGAGATCTTTTTACATTTCTTATTTCAATTTTGAGTAACTTAACTTTTTGAACTTTTTCATCTATACTTACCTTCTCAGCCGCTCAGGTCGGCTGAACATCAGCTCCTGTTCACCAAAAAAGGAGCTTGTTTGGACTGTAGGTTGGACTTACCCAGGGGTACGTCATGTCTCAAATCCTGTTTGCAGTGTTTAAAGCGAGATCTTAAGTTAAAATCATAAAGATGGTCTCATCTTTACCTGTTCAAGATAAAGTGGTTCTTTCCCAGCCTGGGTTTGTATGTTTTAAACTAAATAAACTACTGCTTTTGCTGTTATAAAAACATACTTTTCAGAACCTTAGTTGTTACTGAGTTTTAAGTACTTAATATGGATTCAGTATTGTTTGTCACAGATGCTCTAACTGAAAGTCCAGAAACACAATAAAAGCTTCATACAGTTTCATGTTAATAGATCATCAAATGACCTCAAACTGATCAACTTTGTGAACATTTCTATTTTAGTGATAGTGAAATTGCTTGTTTATGTGGTTTGATAAAAATGCTGTGACCCACTGCAGTATATAGATAGAACCAGAGTGAATATTGTATGGTGTTTAGACTTGGAAAATGGCAGCAGGTGACTGTGGGTTGCAGGATTTCCCCTTTGATGATCTGGGTTGTTCCAGTTAATACCACCGAATAAGTTCTTATGTTTACTAAGCTTAGTCTGCTATGCTTTGAAACACAATGAGTTGCTAAGAAGGAGCGCTGAAATCTGGGAGTGTATCTGCTTTCAACTATGAGGAATGCCACGATCCAAGATTCTACTGCAGAAGATTGCGCTGTAGCCAGATAATTATTGTAATTAGTCTGTCAGTGGTTTTATCGTTGTGCCTGTTAACCAGGCGATAAGTCTTTAAAGACAGAAAAATGCCTTGGACATGAAATCAGACTGAGATTTTCTGTATGCAAACATTAAAATGCAATAAAAAAAGCATGGCTCTGACAAAGTCTGGAATAAAGTTTATGTCAATACCATTGGTATTAGTTTAGGGCTGAACCAATTAATCGTATTAATCATGATTAATCGATTATTGAAATAATCGTCAACTAATTTAGTTATTGATTTATCGTTTAACTGGAGTGTAGATTCTAAAATATACCTTTAGCTGACAGAGCAACCCACTTAGAGCAGTAATTAAACAAAGATTGTAAAAAAAATATGCAAACATTTTGCATTTAAGATAAAAAAAAAATGTTTGTCTGTCAATATACAGTACTCTATTCGGAATTCCTCAATTCAAAAGGTGTGAGTTTCACCTGGTTTAATTTCGTAAGATGTCTTCTTTAAAGAACTTTTGCCTATTGGAATATGAATCGATTATTAAAAAAAGATATCAACAGATTAATCGATTTGCAAAATAATCATTAGTTGCAGCCCTATATCAGTTTAAAAGTCTGAAAGCTCTTGCAGTCTGAGTTCAGCCGTATGTTTCCTTTTTGCACATATTTTTGATACTACAGAAGATTGATACAGTGAACTCCAAGCATAGGATCAGTTTGATGAAAAGTAATAATAATATAATCATGTGGCCCTCCACAGGTTCTCTAATCCAGCTGCCATCTGTGGAGCGAGGAAAACTAAGCAAGGTCCGTCTGGGCTCTCTGTCATTAAAGAAAGAGGGAGAGCGGCAGTGTTTTCTCTTCACAAAACACTGCCTTGTTTGCACTCGCAGCTCTGGTGGAAAATTGCATCTTCTAAAGGTGATATCACTGTTACACCGTGTTTTGCAACAACACATAAGTGGGAAATTGGAAGAAAAAAAAAAAGATTATTTTTTCTTCATTTAACAGCAAGGTGGTGTTTTGTCCCTCATCGACTGCACACTCATAGAGGAACCAGATGCTAATGATGACGAATGTAAGAAAAGTGTTTCCTTTTTTACTTCAGTACCTACTATTAGGTTATTCAGACTCTTCATCACTTTAGAAGGTTAATTAGATGTTGAACAGTAATTCATCTCCTTAAATATCAGATTTTTACCCTTTAAATACCAGATTTTGATCTTTCAATACTAAGGAAGGATAACTCTTCCCCATGAATCCCTTTTGTGTTTAGGAGGATTTGTAATTAGGCCTATAAATATAAAGAGTGAAGCCTTCATGTGTATATGCATGCTCTGTTTTATGTGTAATCGTCAGGAGTGAACAGGAGAAGGTCTGCTTAATTAACCTTCTGTGCTTTTGCTTTATATTTCAGAACCATTGCAATAAGCTATGTGCTACAGTTTAAAACTGATTATTTTTCTCTGTGATGCAGGTAGAACAGCTGGCCAGGTGTTTGGTCAGCTGGACTTTAAGCTGGTGGTGGAGCCAACAGATTCGCCTTCATTTACTGTGGTGCTGCTGGCACCATCACGGCAGGAGAAGGCTGCATGGACCAGTGATATAAGCCAGGTAATACACCAACATAGATCCATACAAACACATAGTAACAAGAACACTGCCAAACAGCAAGAGCATGTCTCCGCTGGGCATTGAGGGGGCTTAGTGATGAGTAAACACAGTGTGTGGTGCTGTACCCCTGGGCTTACTACAGCTTGCCGCCTCTTTACTTGCAAACAAGGTAACACCAGACAAGCATGTCACACTGGATTAATTCATGCAACACAAAATACAATGACATGTTTATAAATTGCTTTCTTGTCTTATCGTTCCCTTATTAACCCTACTTTTGTAATAATTTAAAAGCAGGAAAAATAAGAAAGCAATGAAGCACTGTTATTTGATACAGTTGCTCCACATTAGGATGGTATTAATTGCTTTTTTTTTCACCAGTTGTCTACCTAATCTTCACCAAATCATTTCATTTGTTTGATTAATTTTTTTTTCTCTTCATATTTATAGTGTATTGATAATATCCGCTGTAATGGCTTGATGACCAGTGTGTTTGAGGAAAACTCAAAAGTCACTGTGCCTCATATGATCAAGTAAGTATTTCTGTGTGAAAATAGCAACGCATATCTTCATGTTCTACAGCTGGAGTGATCTGCATGTTAAAAGCAAAGTACTTATGGAAATACATTAGTTTCAAAGTTGACACAAGTCTGGGTTATAAATAGGCATGGGTCAGCTTCTAGACAGAGGTATCAAACTTTAAAGTTTCTTGGATTTCCCAATAATGATCATCTGATGACAGAGAAAGTTCCAGAGTAATATGAGTTTTATGCTAGTTTTTACCTTCAACTTAGACTACATTTTCACTATTTGGTTGCAAACTTTTTCCCTTAAATACTTTTCTTTTACTTACAGACAAGTCAGTTGGTATGAAAGACAATTAAAGAATCCATCCCATTATCTTGATTAAGTAAATGTTATGCTATGCAGCCATTATTATCCATTCTCAGGTCACAGACATTTTTCTTTCACAAATTCCATACTCTAATCCATTCAAGATTTCAGAGTCTTTCATTTTGGAATATAAAATGCAGTTCAGTATATCTTTATAGAAGATATTTTCTCATCTTTTAAATATCAAATCTGCAGAAAGAAATATGCAAGAAGGTTAAAAAAGACAGAACATAAGAAGGGAGTTCAAGTAAGATTTGCAAGAAAACACAAGGAAGAAATGAAAGTAAAATGTTAATCTAAACCGCAGGATGACAAAAATATTCCATTTTGTACAATGAACATGTTCATTCTTCCTAAATTTAACATGAATTTATCTAGCATTTCACCCCTTAAAAACGATCAATAGGGAAATAGGCTTAAATCTCACTATTTGCAATAGGAAGTTGTTCAGTCCTGGCTTTTCAAAATAAATATTTATCTGAAAAAAAATTAAAATGCAAGTCTGTGTCATACAACTAATAGCCCCCAAGGGCCTGATTTTAAAAAATTCCAAACAAGGAGCACTTATTTACATTGTTAAAAAAAATGCATAGGCAATAAGTAGCTGTGTTGTTATGTGTCTGCAAAGAGGATCATGAGCAAACAGGTCCAGGGAGACAGTGGCATATCCAGGGAGTCAGCAGTTCAAACCCTAGTTCCATCTATTGTCAGTGTCTCCTGGGGCTTTTGTGGCTGGAGCATGCCATCATCAGAGTGTGGATGTCTGTATGAACGAATGTACGTAATCCACAAAACATGCGAAATTGAAGGCAGCTGGACTATCACACAGTTTTTCGGATACCTGAACACCTATCCAGGAGTATTTGTTGGCTTGCATTAGAGCAGTCTTTCAAGCACCTGGAGGTCCTTCCTCCCAAATAGTCAATTGCAGACTCTTAAGAGTCGGTAGTTTTGTATGGGTTATGTGTTTGGCCATTTGAACCATGGTGAGTGTGCTTGTTTAATCTCTTTGGAAAATTTCTAGGACAGAGTTGGAGATGCTTGGGAATGTGAAGTGCAACCCTTCCCCTCTGTTCAAGGATGGATTTTCATCTTTTAACAAAGATGGCTTCATTGGCTCCTGTTTCCAACCATCTGTCCTATCTGTCCAAACAGTTTGGACGTTTAGTCATGAAAGGTCTGTCTTTTGTTCTTCAGGTGCAAGTATACAGCAAAATCTTCCCCAGAACTACTGGCTTTCCTGTGCTGTACAATGTGTTAGAGTAGTTCTTTGCTTTATTCAGTTTAGGAGTCTGAGCTGTCCTCACTCTGCTGGAACACATAAATAACCCTGCTCAGCTTGGTTTGGGTGTTCTGTCTTTGGGAATAGCCAGTTTCTATCTAAGTGTCTTCTAGGGTTTGAAATTCCCTGGTATGTTATTTTCAGAGAAAATCCTCTCGAGATTCTCAGAAACTCATGAGTCATATATTCTCACATGTTCCTGGTGTCCTCTCTGGTGAATTTGATGTTTCTGTCAAGTGAAAATGTAAATGAATTTGGTTGTTGAAAGCCTCAGCTTTTTGGCTTTGGATTTTGACTCAACTGTGATATACATCTCTGATCCAGTGAGCTGGTGGTGTTCCCTTGTGCATGCTGAGTGCTCCGCTCTCCACCTCCTCCATGTAGAAAAATTTGCCACAATGGGTGAATCGGGGAATGCCATTACAGTTAGTAAATTGCATGTGCAGTTTTAGAGAGGTCATAAAGAAATTCTACCATGGAGTTGGACAGGATTAATGTTTAACTAATAATGATGAGTTATCATAGGTATCTCTTAAGTGCTACAAAATAAAAGCAATAAAAGGATCAAAATAACAAAAGGTAAACTGAAAAGATATTTTATGTTAAGCCTGGAAAAGCTGACTTTGTTTGCTCCCCTTAGTCAGATATATAGTGACTTTACTTTCTAAAGATCTGGATTTACCTCCACTAACTCCTACATCTTCACCAAAAATAATGAAAACCAGGAAAGCCTTTTATAATTTCATAAATCAAAAATGTGGTTCTACCAGAAGCATACAAAAACATTTTGCACTCATGCAGTCTGGATTAACCTGCAGATTTTAAACAGACTATAAATAGATGTATTCAGTTTTAGGCTTCATAAATTGCTTTAGGGTTGGTAAATATTTTAAATTCATGTCCTCCACCAAAAACATAGAATGTTTTTGCTTATTAGGATATGATCGGCATATTCCTGAAGGCACACATGCAGTAAAGTTAGCAAAAACTGGTTTGCAAACAAGATTGAAAGTGGTTCAAAACAAGCAAATATTTTTAAAGATCAGGCCCCTACATTTTAAACATGTCTTTTATCTCTGTAAATAACTGAAATAAAAATCAGCATCAAATCAATAAATGTTGAAAATATTTTATTTTTCATGCTACTTTTATTGATTGCTCTTCTACTCTCTGAATTTTGCCAATTAAACCTATTAAATCTGAAAAATTGTGGCACTCTAAGTGCAATAATCTTTTTGCACTTCCATACATAAATATAGCTACAGCTATTAGAAGATCACTTTACAACAAAGTGAATGTGAAACTGTGTTATCCTTACCTAATATGTTGGATAACAAACAGACCAAAACTCCCCCGAGAATATGATATATAGAAGGTAGTTAAATAAAATTGTTACATCATCTTTTATTCTTTTGCTTTAAATGCTGTATCAGTATATACCTTGTTATGAAATATAATCCCATGAGGATACTGGAGTGGATACCCATGCCTGATTACAATAAGAAAACAATATGTATGATAAGAAAATTATGACTAATCTTTTCTATATTAATTTATTTAAAGAAAATGCTGAGACATGAAAGAGCATGTCAAAATCTTAATCACAGATACCTAAGTGGTTTTTGCTTCTGAAACCTTTGTGACCATTTTGACACTAATTGATCTGTATACCTGTGAATTTATTTTTGTATTACTTAAAAGTTCAATGTATTTCTTTTCATTTCTATCTTTATTTTGTTTCTCTCTTTATTGGCTTGACCGTGTTTTTGCTTTGTTGCATTTAATGTATTTTTCTTTCTGAGCTGCCCTGCAGTCACCCACATGCTGTTCTGTGTATGTGTTTGTGTCTGTATGTGCGTGTGTATTTATCAGATCTGATGTGCGCCTCCATAAAGATGATGTTGACATTTGCTTCAGCAAGACGCTCAACTCCTGCAAGGTCCCCCAGATCCGTTACGCCAGTGTGGAGCGGCTGCTGGAGCGGCTGACCGACCTGCGCTTCCTCTCTATAGACTTCCTGAACACCTTCCTACACACGTATCGGATCTTCACCACGGCAACCGTGGTCATGGACAAACTGGCTGATATCTACAAGAAGCCGTTTTCCTCCATACCCATCAGGTCTGACAGTTTTCTCCTAAAAATACAGTAATGAAATCACTCCTTGGGTCACCACATGCATATACTGCAGGGGTTAGATTGATTTGTTTTTCTTTACTATATAAAAGATTCAGGTGTTGGGCACTGTTTTAGGCTTCCATGTGCTTCAGTCTGTTTACAGGATTAAGCCACTGAGCTCAAACAAATAATGTTTTTGATGAAGGGCCAAACAGTATAGATGCTCCAACAAATTTAGTTTGGCATTGTCAGAAAGATCTACTTTATGACAATGCCAAACGGTAAAGAGACTTGTCATAAAGTCTCTTTACCGGAAATTTCTGGTGACATTAGAATTTTTATGCCCTATCCACATCTCTGCTTAGCTCTTTATTTTAACTAGAAAAAAAAAAGTTTTTTCTGTGGCAAAGGACATAGTTTGTATATTACTCTACTTGAATATGTGTTTTTGCAGGATTAGAAGAAGATGGTTCCAGTTAGGCATTAGAGGTGCACTAGAAAGAGTTGCATGTCTGCAGCTGGTCTCTTTTCCTAGATCTTAAGCTTTAATCCCCGCTTTTTCAGCAAGATTAAATGAAAGCTGCTTGATACAGTTTGTATATATTATGGCTAAACAATATCTTTATTATTTTACTACTTCTCTGCTAAACTAGTCACATAGATATAGGGATTAAAAGGTACATTTCTGTACAAAAAATACATTTTCATATCATGGGGTAACATACAAAAAGCTGACCTGCCATTATGATAAATTTCTGACAACCTATACTAGAGATATGTTTTTGTTTTTTACGGAAATTGAATTACAAGAAAACAAAATGTAAAAAAAAAAAAAAAAAAAGGTAACTGTTTGTTTTTATTCTTTTAACCTTTTTTAAAGACTACAATTGTACAGGTAAAGGAACTTCCTGATTGCTTCATGGCTAAATTTACAACCATTTCCATCTCAGGAAGAGATGAGTCAAATGTTCTACATCTGCATTTCAACTTATTCCCTGTGAGAATGAAATACAATACATGTAAAACATAAACAGCGTGGAGTATAGCAACCCATATTTACTAATTTAGAAGTAAAAGGTTGTTCTTTGTGGTGTTGGGTTTTCTCAAACGTGATCACGGATCATCTCAGAAGTCATTATTTTCCCTTCTTCACAGTGTCTCCTTCTCCCTCAGGCACACATGTTCCGCAAGAGAATAATTCATCCCTGTTGTAACACCATCCCTCTGAACATTTCGCAAAGATGTTGTACCTCTTGGATTTTCTGTCTAAATCCATCCGTCCCATCCCAGCATTAAATCATTTACTGTCATGCGTCTCTCCTGTCCACCCATATTCCAGGGCGCAGCGCCACTCATTTGACCGTCTATCCATCTCATCTATCTGTCCTGACTACAGTCTGAAGATCAAGAAGATAGCCATGGATCAGTCCAAGTAACTTTGTCTTTCCTCTGCTGTCTCTGCTGCACTTCTCTCTGCTTCTCCTCTCCTCTGGTTATGGTCTGATACTCTGAACTTATGCATGGCTTTATTGTTGACTTAGACTGACCCTTTATCTGAATGACTGTTTGGGTATGCTATTTCATCTGATTCTGACATTCTACTGAATCATGTGAGCTGAAAAGAGTAAAACTTTCGAATGTGTTTTAATGTTTAAAATCTGCATCAACATTGAAGCATGTTTTGTTACTGCAATATGACCTCCTTTAGTCTTTCTTTTCAGCATTTTGCTTTATTTCTTTTGATAAAATTTTTATATGATATTTTAATAATTTATGTCCATCAATGGATCCCCTTAACTTTGAACCCACTTACTCTGCTTGTGGCTCTTTAGAATACAATTTCTTGCTGACACACCAACCCCCTTTCAGCTTTAAAAATGTTTGCTTTAAAATGAAACTTCTTTTGGTTTCATATGACTTTTGTGAAGGAGATGTCTTTTTTTCTTTGCATGAATACTTTACCCACAAATCCCTTTTTGACACATTCAGCTTTTGAACAGCGGGAAGAGACATTCCTGTGGATGCTCAAAATGCAAAAATAATTAACTTTAATTTTAATCTTTATTGTTGTTTTGGCACAGAATCAGGTATCAAACGTGGGGATTCTCAGAAAGTCTTTATATGTGGGAAATAAAAATTCAAAAATTTTGGAAGTTCTGATCCATGTACTGTATTGGATACATGACCATAAGTATTAAAAGTATTAAGGTATGATAATGTTTGCACTGATTTTAGTTTAGTGTGCTGCAAGAGCAAACATAATTAAAGAAACAGCAAAACCACATCTCCAGTTAGTCAAATAACTACATTAAACCTTTTCACAGAGTTTACCATTACAGCAATGTAAACATAAAAGTTTAAAAACATAATTTATTTTTCTTACCATTACAAACGCAAACATATGGCTTGAACTCTGATGCTATATTAACTGAAACTGTGTTATTTGGTCAGATAAAATCTGTTCAGTATGCCGGGGAGTCTGGTATGTTATGGCCCAGTATCTCTTTGAAGTGACTCGAGATGCTTGTTAGAGGGCACAGCAGCAGGACCATACTGCCAAATGGACACATACAAAATAAACCTCTCCCACAGCTTGGTCCCCAGATATTAATCATATGAAAAACCTGTTTAGGGAGCCTAAGAAACAAATACAAGAGAGAAAATACAGGACTCTGCTGTAGATAATCTAGCCAGAGAAAATTCACTCTGTGAACTCCAGCCTTATGAAATGCTATACAAGAGTAAGGGCTTTCCTATTTTATGTATTAAGTATGGTTTATTATGTTTGATGAATGAAAAAACGTATTATGAAGATGAATAAGTTTTTAAGACCATTTACTCAAAGAAAATATTTATATCACTTGCTGTTAAAAAGCAGCATCATCATTTAGGTGTCGCTAAATGGGTCCACGTGGGGTGCACCAGTATAAACTCCTTTCAACACATTAGAGGTTCTTTGAGGAAATAAGCTGCACAACACAAACTCTAAGGAAAGTGGAAATTGATCCTGAACAGTTTCAGGCCATAAAACCAAGCTAACCTGACAGCTGCCATAAAGCTTCTCAGAGCAAAGGGATAAACTGATGAAAATTGTCTGTGGTTTAGAATTGTTTGAGGTGTATTTAGCTCATGTTCATTTATGTTGTTGAAGCTGACTTATCACCCAGGCTTTACAAAGTGATATTTGTGATGTTTTAAATGGCTGTATGTAAACATTAGGGAATTAAAGCTGCATATTACCAGGGTAACCTTAAGTATGTTTTATTTCCAGCTTAGTGTAATGAAATACAGACGAACCACAGTAAAAAATGGTCACTGCTCCAAAATCCTCTGGTCACTCTGTGCCCTCTCAGTATAAATCACTATGAACAAATTCAATAACTACAAGCTTTAAGCCCTCCCAGTCCCATGTAACACATTCAATTGAAGAAAGTATCCTAGCCCATATAAAACTTCCCCCTTATAATAAAAACAGTTTGAAAAAAAGTTTTAGAAAAAAAACTATAGAGAAAAACTTTTTTCTTCACCCTGCTGTAGTTAAGTTTCTTTGCTCTTATTTTCCCTGAACTCGTTCTTTATTGCTTTTTTGTTGCTTATTATTTTACCAACATATTGCTTTTCTCCTCTCTCCAGATCCTTGGAGTTGTTTTTTGCCACAAACCAAAATAACAGAGGCAGTGAGAACATGAACGACCGATCTCCTCGTCTCTGCCGCAAGTTCTCATCTCCTCCTCCATTGTCTATCCAGTCCCGAACCTCTTCCCCTGTTCGAACCCGAAAGCTTTCCCTTCACACCCCCCTCACTGGCCGGGTGGGAGGCCTCGACCTTTCATCTCCTCTGTCCAACTCAAACTTCAACCACAACAGCTCCCAGTCTGCTGCAAATAGCCCTACTTCTGCACAGACTCCCCAAACGCCGACATCTCAGACACCTACCCCAACAGCTACCTCTCCTCCCTCCACTTCCTCGTCTCCTCCTCCGAACAACGGCAAGTCGTCACAGGATCAAGCTCCTCTGACTCCCTCCTCGCCGGACCAGAGCCCTATCCCAGCAGCTGATGGAGAGGAGGTTCCTAGGATTGATCCTTTCTGTGGAAAACTGAGACGGAGCATTAGGAGAAGTATTTCCACATATCCTTAAAAACAAACTCTCCAAACACCTAAGCTACAATATACAGTATATCAGCACCGCCAGTAATTTAAATATGCCTTTAAAAAGTTCTCATAGTGTAATTTTTTTGAACTAAACTAGCATCATGTATTTTCATTTTGTGGTTTTCTTTTGCCAGTATTATGTAGGGGTGTGGGAAATAATCGTTTTGGCGATATATCATGATATTCGGCTGCCCAATATAATGTCGATCTTTCACTTCTTAGTATCGATTTTCAAAAAAAAAAAATGGTTACATAAAACAGTGTTGGTAAAATTGGCTACCTCTGCACCGCCACTCTGGCAGAAAGCGCTGTGGAGCCCTTTAACTGTGCGTGCAGCACCAAATCTGTATTTAAGGCAGTCAAAGTGGAAGAAAACCCCAAACAACATGGATAATAATACCTAATCAATATTTTCTGATGAAAATATACAGCACTTGCTGTTTTAATATGGCAATATATAGTGATACTGCAATATCGTGATAATATCGCATCATGACCCAAGTATCGCGACATGTATCGAATCGCAACACTCATGCCAATACTCACCTCTAGTATTATGTAGCTATTAGTTAGGTCTTTGCTTCCTAAATTTAGCATACTTTTTCATATGATTAGCAGAAACCATAAAACTGTCCCTTCATTTTCATTTTTACGTAGAATGTTTTGCAAATTAACGACTTTAAAATGTGATATCAATTTACATTTGGCATCCTATACGTTGATACCTCTAAACTATATATGGTGCAGCTTAGTGCTCTCATTGGTTACCTAGAGTTAAACTTTGCATAACCTAATCTCAGTATGAATCCAGCCATTTTATGAGTGCCTCAGAGATTTGTTAGACACATCTGTGAATAAACAACACCATAAGGAGTAAGAGACCCAGCACGTTGGGTAACTTAAGCACAGTTAGGTTAGTAAATTATATCTCAAACTAATTAAAATCTCATTGCACTCAAGCACAGTTTTTTAATGCATAACTCAGAAATTTCAAGTTGTTTATGAACTTGTTAAAATAATAAACACAAAATAATAAAAAAATAATAAAAAGTTCATAACAACACAAACTATTGTTACAAAAGAAATTCAGAACATAATCATATGAAAATGCTGCCTTATATAAAAACCTCACTAGTTGTCAGTATTATAGCCCATTCTGTCATTTCTTTTTTTCTTCTGAAATGGATCTCCTGTCTAGCTGTGTTGGAATCTGTGTCGTTGGAGAAAATCATCCCAGAGTCTCCGCAGAGCAGCGAAGCAGGAGACATGTCTCCGTGTCGCTCTCCATCCACACCACGCCACCTCCGCTACAGACAGTCTGGAGGTACTGTAGGTCCGTGGGCGTGTTTGTATGTTATACAAACACCATCCACACTATTTTATCCCCAATGCCAGGTGAGCAATGCTGTGCCTGCAAGCAGGTTTCCGAGCAGAGCTACCTTGGTAGCAGCTTCCATGCAACAGAAACATATCACAAAACTTCAAACCATACATGTATGATGGTATTAGTTGATCAAGTTCCTAAAAATGTTCAAGAATATATTTTTTGCATGGTTGTAAATGCAGCAACCCTGCAAATGGAACACAAGAATGACATTGATTGACTGCACTGGTGAAAAGGGAGTTAATGTTTGTTAGAATGATGGTGATACTGATCTCTGTGTTTATCCTAATGATCTGAGTTTGGAGATTTTTAATCCTTGTTAAATGTTCTTTTTTTAAAATACAAACTGTTTTTTGTTTGTGGTTTTCTCCTTTTTGTAAGTAAAGTTATACAGTGATAAGGTCCACATGTACGTTTATGAAGTTAATTATTTTTACATTTATGATAACATTTAACTGAGCAAGGATCTATCCCAAATCTTCCTTTTAAAATCTTTTTAAAGGTCCCATGAGACGACATTTGATACACAATAGCACTACATTATTTAACTACTTAATTTAAATGAATTGAACCTTTTTGCTCATGTTAGATAAACTGTTTTTAATTTAAAAGTTTTAATTTGAAATTTAAGCTAAAATAGATTATATTTAACTTTTTATAGAGCAAATTATCTTTAGGCTATAAACGATGTCAACAGATCAGATTAACATTTTCACGGCAGACATTATTTCAGACTTCAATAAAGGTTTGGCTCATAACAGCAAGAGACTTATGTGGAGCCACAGTAATCCTGATATGCTGATAAGTGGTAATTTAAAGCCCTTTTTTCTCTTTGATTGTAAAAGGAAAAAACAGCAGCAGTGTTGCTACTATTGATAATAATGTATCTGTGTCTGCAGTTCAGTCTGGGGAGAATTCACGCTGCTCAGTGTCTCCTGCCTCAGCCTTTGCTATTGCAACTGCAGGAGCAGGACATGGTACCCCGCCAGGTAAATGCAAAATGCACACAGAACAGAAACCTGCTGTGGAGCTTTGAACTGAGCCATTTATTTCATGTTCTTTAATAAATGAAGAATACTAAAAACAGAGCTCTGTCTCATATAACTTGTAATTTGATTATTTTCTCTGGTTCAGAGAGCAATTTATGTTTGAAATAAAATATTTTATTTAACAATTGTATTAATTGAATTGTCCAATATTACACCAGGGCCCTTTTCTTGTTATGGTATATTCTTTAGTAAAATTTTTTTGGGGTCTAAATACAATGTATTTGGGAGAAATTTGTGAAAGTGAAATGCGTTACCGAAATAATTTAAAGCATCATCTACGAAAATGTATCTACTGCGTTTGGAGTGAAACATTAATTAAAAAAGTGTGTATGATTTCATAGATAATAAAACCCTTTTATTAGGATTATAAATGAAAGCATAAAAAACTCTTAGATATTAAATATGAAAACAATCACTGTATTTTAACCTAAAGTGCTCTCCACAGTTATTAATATCCCTGGTTAATGTGTATAAAAAAGTTTTAAATATTACCCCTAGGCATCAGCTCTAACTATGTGCAACATTTTTTTGTATTTTCAAATCTAATCTTTGATTGAGGTAGGTTTTAAAGAGATGAAATATAAAATGTCCTGGTGTTTTAATGAGACCATACAGCCATGCCATTAAACAAAGTTTTAAAAAGATTCATAATAGAAACAGTCTCGAAGCAGGAAGGGTTTTCAGCATACTTTTTTGTTTATGATAAAACTAGCTTGCTATAAACAGAGGCGAGTGTTTTATTGTATGGCTAAAAACACAATTCCATTGAAACTATTGAGTGCATTTCGCCCTGATGTGACGGAAGGACAATTTAGTTTGCGGCATTGTTTTGACTTCTTTAATTTTGAATTTAATTGTGAATTTAGGAGATTTTGTTTTTTTTAGCTTTATAAGCATCAACACTGTGTGAAGGCGAACAATAAATCTGGATCCATGTTCTGCCTTCTTTTAAACCTTTTTTTTATTATTATTGCTCTGATTTCAGATACCGTCAAGTTAACACAAGCTGCTGGTTTCTTGTAGTAGTTTCCTGTGAAAATAAACACAAATCTGCTTTTCTCGAATACCAAATCCATTTTGAAGAACAAAAATAGTCCACTCTAATTGCTGAAATGTTTCCATGTGCTAAGGAGACAGGTAAACTAGATTGATATATGATTTCACCTGTTAATTGATATAGATGCTTTCTATTTATGACAGAGTATTAGGGCCAGGCTAGAGATTTTTTATTAATTTGAGAATAAAGTTGTAATATTAAGAGAATAAAGTTGCAACATTACGAGTATCAAGTCGTAATAATACGAGAATAAAGTCGTAATCTTACGAGAATAAAGTCGCAACATTACGAGAATCAAGTCGTAATAATACGAGAATAAAGTAATATTACGAGAGTAAAGTCACAACATTACGAGAATCAAGTCGTAATAATACAAGAATAAAGTCGTAATATTACGAGAATTAAGT